AAATAGCAAAAATTCCAAGCAGATGGTTGGACTAACTATTATCAGATAGTTCAAATAAAATAACACAGAATTTTCTGGAAATCCTCTTCAATCCATTTCCAAATAGTGTTCCTGAGGAAGCCTACCGTGTGTGGCTTGATGGTTTTAGGCAGTTTCAGTTATAAATAATAGTTTCCTGTCATTATCTAGGTTGTGATATTCATTAGTGAAGTTATGTCCATGTATAGAAGAAATAGAAGCAAGACTTGTTTGAAAGGCCAAAGTCCTCTTCTGACATAATCCTAGCATCAGGGTGGGTTTCCTGAAGTCATTCAGGCCTTGGTGCCTCATTTGGTCCTGAGAATGTTGCTGTGGAGGCTGCTCAAATATTTTTTATTCATAGTCTACCAAAAGCTGGGAACTGTGAAAGGAAACGTCCTGTTGGACAATATTTAAAGTTCTGGCTAAGCAAATTTGAATGGCAGAATGAATTTTTATTTAGTCAATACTGTTCCAAATATTAACTCACAGAATCTCATAACTCTTAAAGGTAGATACTATTGGTATCCCTGCTTCACAGAAGCACAAGTTAGTGGTGGAACCAGGACGTGACCTAACCAGTCTAACTCCCGGGTCTGGGCTCCTAACAAGTGCATTGTATGGTAGGTTTGTCTTCAAATAAATCATGGCACCCAATGCATGGGAGTGGCAGGTGGTTACTTCTGTTCCCTGCTGGAAACTGTTGTGTGAAGGATAAGACTAAATGTAAATGACAGAGAGTAAGTGCATTTCTACATTTACTTTTTAGATCCTATTAAAACATCCCAGATAGTGGCCTGTCTGAGCATCTGGCTCAAATTTTATTTTTATTTGCTTTTTTATTATGCAACTTACATCTTTGGAAGATTGAAATGCCAAAAAAAAAAAAAAAATCACTTCAAGGAGAGATGATCTATTCAACCAGTTCTGAGCTATTTACCGAGCAGAAATCTGTTAGTACATTTTAAAGCAAACAACCTGTTTCATCAACAATAAAAATGTATGACTTTGCATCAAAATAAAACTTTAAATTTCAAATTAGTTTCCTTTAACATATTATGTTTATTTTGAGAGCTCTTATGGATGAGACCAGATTAATAGGATATCCATTTGAGATAATCACAAGCGTTTTAGAATTAACAAACATCTGCTGAGGGCTTAATATATGCAAAGCATAGTACGGAGAGCCTTGAGAGGTTAAAACAAAAATAACAATTTTAAAATAAGGCCTCTGCCCTGAAGGATTTTGTTTACTAATGGATAGAGGCAGTTGTGCCAATAGGTAAATAAATAATAAAAGATAAGTTGTGGGTAGGAGGCTCGGCGCCAGTAGCACAATGGTTTATATGGCACCAGCCACACACACCCAGGCTGGCAGGTTCGAACCCAGCCTGGGCCAGCTAAAAACAACAATGACAACTGCAACAACAAAAACATAGATGGGCATTTTGGCAGGCACCTGTTGTCCCAGCTATTTGGGAGGCTGAAGCAAGAGAATTGCTTAAGCCCAAGAGTTGGAGGTTGCTGTGCGTGGTGATGCCACAGTACTCTACTGAGGGCGACATATTGAGACTATCTTAAGGGGAAAGATTTATATAATCCAAAGGGAAACCGGAGTGAGACTGTCTTAAAAAAAAAAAAAAGTGGTTAAAAAAAGTGGTTGGGAGAGGCCTTGAGAGGAAGAGCCTCTGGAAATCAGTGAAGGAAGCAGGACTGGCTTCCCGAAGGCAGACCCTGCACCCCTTAGTATAGTGTTCCAGTTCTCAGCATAGAATCTGGCACATCACAGAAGTTTAGCTCAATGTTCTTTAATGCATCAATGAATTGGATCTAGATGGTACAATACCGGAAATATAAGCCGAGACAAGAAAGGATAATCTCAATCCAATTTCCTTAAGCAAATATCCATTGTCCATATTCTCTGGGCCAGACCTTGTGCCAGGTGGGGAGAGCAGCAGGTGCCAGAGCTTGGATACAGAAGAACTCAGGGTACAAAGTCCGTGCGGGTGGCCAGCATGTCTAGGTGTGGGAGGCATGTGAGAGATAAGGCCGGAGGAGTTGGGAGTGGCATATGAAAATTTCAACGCTGGGGAGTTTGAGGAGACAGCTCCCTGAATGTGTCATTACTGACTGGATTTTTATTTCTACTAAGCAAATATTGGTTGATAACAGATCATGTGCATTTTGCTTATACTAAAAAAAAAGCAACTAGGCTCAGTGCCCATAGCACAATGCTTATGGCACCAGCTACATACACAGAGGCTGGTGTGTTTGAACCCAGCTGGGGCCAGCTAAATGATGATGACAACTGCAACAAAAAACAGAGCTGGGTGTTGTGGTGGGCACCTGTAATCCCATCTATTTGGGAGGCTGAGGTAAGAGAATTGTGTAAGCCTGAGAGTTTGAGGTTGCTGTGAGCTGTGATACCATGGTACTCTACCAAGGGCAACATAATGGGACTCTGTCTCAAACCCTCCCCCCCCCAAAAAACCCAGACTTAAGAGTTACCAATATATTCATGAATATATATTTCATCTTGCAATCTGCTGGAACTTGGGTTGTTACTTCTGCATTTCCAAACCAAATAAATCTGAAGCAGTAGAAAAATGTCTCAACTGTGTTCTGCTCTAATGACTTAATTCTAGAATGATGTTTGGATATGTCAGTTGAATTAATTCAGACTAATGTTTAAACAAAAAAAGTGATGAATGTAACAGTCCTCAAGAGTTTTATTCCTAGCTTTTCCTTACAATAGCTGTAGAACCTCAGGGCAAGTTGCTTAATTTATATAGCGTGTGTAAACTAAATACATACACACACACATATATATGTCATTTGTACATTTCTCTGTCTCTGTCTATTCCTGCATCTTCGTCTATGTAGTTAACGCACTAGGAAGGGTCAACAGACCTGCAGAGGCAAGGCAGTGTCCCTTCCTACCTATGTGTCTCTAGGCTAAATGCTTGACTTTGAACCTCAATTTCCTCATCTATCAAATGAGAAGAATGATTCCTAACTCATTATGTCTGAGAAAATCATAGGAGCCCACCCTTATTTGAGCGGTTGCCATGTATTTTCTGTGTGGGGAAACCAAGGCATTGAGGGAGGAAGTTGTGCAACCCTGGCCACACAGCTGGTAGAGAGCAGATCTGGGTTCCAGGGCAGACTCTCCGGTTCAGAGCCCTCCGGCTACACCACCCTGTGGCTGTTTTTAAAGACCTCTCCCCAAATCCACCTCCTGGGCCATGCTTAATAAATGCTCATTTCTTTCTTTATCCCCCCAGGACATTGGTGTGAAATGGCATTGCATTTCCACCTGCTTAAAGTTGGAATCTAAGTTGGCCAAATGTAAGGCATGTAAAATTTTCAGCATCTAAATCAGTGTTTTTCAATCTTTTTTATCTCATGGCACACTTGAACTTTCTATGGCATACTTAAATTGATTAAAAAAAAAGAATATATTTACAGTGCTTTGAATTTCTTTTGAAAATAATTTAATTAATAATCTTCAAAAGTTTTCATGGCATACCTAACATCTTCTCACAGCATACCAGTTGAAAATCACTGATCTAAATTTTTAGAGTGATTAATTATTTTTCTTTTCTTTTCTTTTTTTTGAGACAGTGTCACTCTATTGCCCAAGCTAGAGTGCTGTGGCCATTTTCCCACGCTGATGCTATTCTGTGACATATGTTCAAGGTAGAGAAACTTTAGGGAAAAAAAAGATGATGTAAAATAGGATCATCCATACTACCAGGAAACAATAAAAAGATTGGAATTTTAGTGAAATGAAGACATTTTTCATTTTGGGGCTTTGTTGTTGTTATTGTTGTTTTGGCAGTCCAATATTGTGATAAGCAGCAATTCTGGTTTCCAGGCCATGTGGAAAATTTATCTTATAGCTTCAAGTCAGTTATGACATGTCTCAGGGTGAAAGTTATAATTTGCGTGAACTGTGAATCTTTAAGGAGAAAAGACTAATTTTGAAGAGAATGAAGGCAGAATTTGGATTCTTATTTGGTTTCTTTCAGAATAATAAGAAATACATTTATTTTTGGCCAGGACATGGTGGCTCACATCTGTAATCCCAGTGCTTTGGGAGGCTAAGGTAGGAGGATCACTTGAGCTCAGGAGTTTGATGAGGGAGTGACAGAATGAGACACTGTTTCTGAAAACAAAACAAATCCCCAAAATATACATTCCCTTTTTAAAGGTATGTTGCATAGGTAATAACAATATTTGGAAGACCAAACAGGAGGCTGGTGAGGTCTTTGAATGAAGGATTTTGAGAACTCTTGTTTTTTTTTTTCCAGTTGAAGAATCTCATATATTTGCAGCTCTATATCAGAACCATGAAAACTTTTGCATCTAGCTATCCTGGAATTTGCTAAAACATATATTCCTCATCCATATAAGAATGAAAATAAGGGGTGGTGCCTGTGGCTCAGTGGGTAGGGCACTGGCCCCCCCATATACTGTAGGTGGCAAGTTCAAACCTAGCCCTGTCCAAACTGCAACAAAAAAATAGCCAGGCATTGCGGTGGGCTCCTGTAGTCCCAGCTACTCAGAGGCTGAGGCAAGAGAATCACCTAAGCCCAGGAGTTGGAGGTTGCTGTGAGCTGTGATGGCACTGCACTCTACAGAGGGTGATAAAGTGAGACTCTGTCTCTAAAAAAAAAAAAGAAAATAATACTTATTGTGTATCATTAAAAATGAAGAATATTTAAGAGTCTTAAATGAAGAGAGTGAAAGGGTTAAAGAAATGGAATTACAGCAAGCACATTTCACTTGTACACTGCTGTGGATAAGATATCATGAAGGTTCTGAAAGACCAGGCTGTCCTATACGGAGGAAACTTTAGGGATCCTATTTTACTAGGTTTATAAGTAGATACTGTCAAGTGATTCTTACTGGTTGGAAAGATGTGATTTTGTTAATAACAGACCTGAAACTAATCACTTTTATCTCTGATTTATTCACAGGAGTTTGAATAAAGAATTCCATGATGCCTCGAGCTCATCTTTGTTCTCTGTCTCTTCTTATACTTTATTTGGTAAGAGAAAAGGGCATTCTTCTCTAATAATTTACTAGAATATTTTCTGCCATCTTTCTACCCCATACTAGGGAAAAACTGATTATCATTACTCAGAGAAAAAGATGGCCTATCAAAATTAAATCGTTATATAGAATGGGCACATAGTTTGTCCCAGTGTAATATTTTCAATGAAATGACCACAAATCATATGTCTGACCTTCAACTGGGGAATGTCCTGTCTCCTTAGCTTTTAGCTACTTGATTGGTAAGGTTTAAGACAAATCCATCTGTCCATGTATAGCTCAGGTGATCTAAAGTATTGGGTCTGTGTCCCTTAATCTTGATTTTTTTTTTTTACTTTGGCCATAAAAAAATCACCACCAAAATATCAAGAAAACCATTTTCTCCATTTGACTGTGCTCTGCTCTGTATTTTCCTTCTCATAAGTGATTAGGAGTTAACCCTGTCGACTGATAGGTTTTGGGAGCTTGGGAGTCCCAGCCCTCCATCTTGGGTGTGTAGTGGGGGGTCATCCTTGTTTTACCCCTGAAGTTACTGAGGTTTGTGAAAGTTTCCCCCTAATTTGTTGATTATGAAGCAAGATTATGTGGAAGCACCTATTGTTTTTGAGAAGGAAGCTTCTAGATCCTCATACCTCAAAACTGGTTTCCTTTCTCTTGGGACTGAAAAATAATCCACCAAATTTCAAGTTCCAGAGAGACCTGAACCTTGGAGCCTGCACAGTTCACAGTGCTTATAAAGTGAAAGGGAGTCAGACTTGTAAAACTACCCGTGCCTTTTTCCCCTTACAGGGAAAACTGCAGGTCAAACTTTATGAGCATCGTGTGTCCTCCCAGGCTGGGGCTCAAAATCTCATCCCACGAGTGTGTAAGACCTGGCTGGGTCAAGCAGCCCCATGTCATCGCTCCCCTTGTCCTCTTTTCCCAAATGTCCTTTGCCGATGATGTCACAGGATGGGGGTGAAGTCAGCCCTGGTTTCAAATTTGGTGCTGCCACTTGTCAGGGATAGGAAGCTGGGTCAGTACCTAAGCTTTGAACCTCAGGTTTCTGCCCTGTCAACTGTGGCTAATAGTAGTACTTGGCCTACAGGATATTGTGGCAATTAAATATGAAAGCACTCTGCCTTTAGAGAGTGCTTGGATCAGTAACCAGCATAGTCTGAGTGCCGAGTAGATATTACCTATTATCATGACTACAGCATTTTAAAAATTCAGGGTTTACACCCACATGGCCCTTAACCTCCATGAAGAAGGGACTGCATTTTAGTCTCTCGGCACAGGTGCTGAACAGGGTGGAATTTATATACATGATTACGGGCACATTAGGAAACAGCAAGACAATCTCAGGATTTTATTAGGATAATTTGATAGTAGTAGCCCCATCTGCATCGAGCTTTTGTTGGTGGCTACCAGGCCAGCAGACCTGGTAACTGCATGTGCCATTTGGCCTGGAAAGTGGTGTAGGGACATGGGTAAGAGTCGTGGCTTGGTGGTCTGACAGTGCTGGCTCCAGTCCCGAGGTGGCACTATCTGTAAGCGCTGTGCCTGTGTGGGACTTCTCTGGAGATACTTTGATAGCATTGATCAGAGGAAATGATGTATGTGAAGGGTCTAGTCCAATCCCTGCCACGTGGGAGACACTAAAAATGATTCTCCTCTCTTCTTTTGCTTCTTTGTGCAAGAAGGTGGGTGTGATTCCCTTTGACCCCTGCATAAACCCACCCCTTTGTCCTTTCACAAGTTTCCCCCATATCAACCATCCCAGTTCTGGGGATGTGGCTTGATGAGTCACTGTGTACATGCATCTGGAAATCTTTATAGCCTCAATAACCACATTAAAGGGCAGGAAGAAAAATCTGTCGCCCTAATAGTAAGATGCTATTTTGAACCCTGGAACTGAGACCTGAACCCCCTTTCCTGAGAGGTGAGGCAGCTTGTCTGCTTAAGGGTTTGCCTGGCTAATGTAGTTTTTACTGGTGTGACTGGAGGGCTGAGCACTCACTGATGTGGGTGCGAAGCTGACAAGGCAGTTCAATATTAAGCGGTAGCTCCACAGAGAATGGCTCCCTCATCTTGGCCCAACCATGGTGCCATCTGGACCCCTGTACCCGGTTCCTATGCCCTGCCTTCCAGAGCAGTTAATGGAGCTGGGCAATACATGGAAAAGGGGCAGAAAGGCAGAAGAGCTCCCAAAGGAAGAGAAACTTAGAAAGGAAGGGAATGGGCGATAAGCCTGTCAAATTGATGTAAGTTAGGAATGCTTTTACCTACAAGTGACAGGAAGTTTAACTATAGAGCATTATAAATAAATAGGGATTGATTTTTCTCAAATAACCAAAGCCTGAAGTGGGCAATTCAGGGCAGGTTTCGCAGGCCGGTGATATTATTGCAGATTTGGGCTTCTTCCTCTTTGTGCCCCCATCTTTTGTGCTGCTTTGTCCTTTCATGGTTCATGATGACTGTCCTAGCTGCAGACACAAGGTCTGCAAGAAACTCAGAGATGAGCAGTGCTATCCACATCTGTCCTTTTTCACTAGGAAAACAAAAGCCTGACCAGAACCCCAGTGGACTTCCCCTCTTGCTTCATGAACCAGAACTGGGTCCCTCAGCCACCTTCCTAGCTGCAAGGGAGCCTGAGAGAGAGACTACTTGGCTTCCCAGGCTCTATGCTATGCTGGGAGGCAGCAAAGGAGAGGGGTTGGCAGGGGTCTGGGGCAGCCAACCCAGGGACCTGCCACTGCTCTGAGGGACTGAAGACCACATTTCAAAGCCCTCTGTGTTCACATTTGTAACTGCTCATTTATCAGACTCCAGTATCAACTTAGTCAAGACTCAACACTCTGAGGGGTACAGCATGAGACCTTTGCCCCATCACTGGGATACTGATTGCTTTGGCTTCTTCCGAGAGAACAGCAATTCCCGTGGCAAGAGTGTGCTTGTTTGCCCTAATGAAGAGGAAAACAAATTCTCTCCCTTGTACCCAATTCATCTGATTCTTTTGGTGTTATTTGTCTAGCTCCAAAAACCATTAGCTCACCATATGCTTCTGATTCCAACCTATTCCACCCCTGATTTCTACCACAAATGGGAGACCCAACGAACCTCCTAGGAATGAGGGAAGATCAGCATAGGTGTGAGGCCCTCGGTCCCTGGTCCCTGTAGGGTGCCCCAAGGCAGGTGTATGGCCAGCTGTCCCTTCCTTCAGTCAGCTGCTCTGCTCCGCCGACATCTCCCTTCAGAGGCACTGATGTAGTGAGGACTGTGGGGATACACCCTGTTCTCTGGAGGTGGGATAGTGGGGTCACATTCTCATGCACATCCCCAACTGGCCAACTTCCCCTCCAGGTTGTGTGGGCAGCTTTTGTGCCCTGTGGTGGGTACTGGTGCATAGGGGTTGAGAGGACTGGTTCTGGAGTCACAGGTTTGAATCCTGCTTTTAGCCACTCCCTGGGCAGGTTACTTAACCTCTCTGTATTAATCTTATCACTCGAACAGTAGGGTTGTCATCGGAATTAAACTGTTTAGGATGACTCCACATGGGCTGAGAAATGTGAGCTATTTTTACTGTCACACCACTCTCACTCCTTAGCAAGTGAGAGCCAGTCTTTCTCCCGTCCCAGCTGCACCGACCACTGTTCCAGCCTGGATCTGGGTGTCTGCAGAGGCCACTTGGCTTTCACATTAGGAGTCTTTGGATTTTGGAACTGTTGTGGGGCTGCCGCTTGAAAACATTTTGTGTTTTTGTCATTTTTCTAAGTGAGTGAAAAGAGCTAATCAAATGTTAAAATAGGAAGCGTTTCTTAAAGTAACAGTTCAAATTCAGATTCAATTTTTCCTAAATTTGCCATGTAACTATGTGCCAGGCAAGCCTTGCACCAAAGACACCTATGTGTTCTTTTTTTTTTTTATCCTTATAAATTCAGTTGTCCTTGAGATGACTGTGAACTCTAGAGTGCTGGAAATCTGCCAGGAATGTCATCCCAAAGGCGAGGAAGGAGGTGTTTTATGAAGCTGGTATAAAACTGTGTAGAATTCAGAAGGCGGGGTGGCTTGTGCAAGACCAGAAGCTTTGCTCAGACCTGAGTCATGCCCTTAACCTAACCTCCTCAGAGGGGTGTTAACGTGCTTCTCAGAGGGTGACCCCTCTGACAGTTAAACAGGCAAAGCAATGAAAGCTCAAGCAAGCTACTTTGACATGGTTGAGCTTCAACAAACATTAAATTTCTTTCTGTGTGTGTTGACCAGATTTCACATTGTTTTCAGACATATAGAATTGTATGTTTCATATACTGGTTTTGGAATCACTAGTAAAATCAATAAGTGACAAATTTGTAATAGATGCTAATTTAATCTTTCTTTGTTAACAGACAACTGGATGTGGCCAAGAGAGCAGGTTTAGCGGACCCCTGAAACCCATGACATTTTCTATTTTTGAAGGCCAAGAATCAAGTCAGATCATATTCCAGGTAAGGGCTCTGCCTGCTCACTGTCGTCTTAGTTTCATATGCTGTCTTGGTGGACTTTCACTCCCTTATCTCCCACACAGCAGGAAATGAAACAGAGGCATGGCCATCTCATTATCAAAAATGATGTCAGAGCTAAGGTCAACAGAGAGATGGTGGCCTCGGTATTGTAAGACATTCTCATCACACTTCCTCAATCATCTCTGGGGCTTGTTCCCATCCCTCTCATGGGGAGCCTGGTACCTTAGGCTCCACTTCTCCTCTAGAGTAAAAAGGGAGTCAAGCTCTGGGGAGGGGAATGGTCATCTGACCACGGGCTGTTCGGTGAGCTCTCTGCTTGAAGTATTTGGAGATGCAGCTTCTCTGGAGTCGGTGCTGGGATGGTCTCTGTCTGGCGGGAGCCCCGCCCTTTCCTCACCACTGCCCTTTGAGCCCAGGCCTGGGCCAATACCAAAGCATGATTGGTCATCTGGTTCAGTTAGATGGCTGTGAAAGGCATCAGATGGTGGGGCAGCGGAGCTGCAGGTGGAAGTGAGGGAAGGGACTTCAGCTATTTCCAGAGATAATCCTGGAAATGTAACGGAGAAGGAGAAAAATGTATTGCTCTTTACCAGACATCCCCTCAGGAAGCTGCTTGGCTCTGGAGTGGGTGGAGGATGCTTTGATGAGCCCCTTGGGGTCTCCATGACCCCTTCCCTACCCACCTACCAGGGAAGTAGCAGAGGGTTGCTAAGGCTAGTGTCTCCCCTTAACTGTGGAACACTTAGAGCTGACTCTGTCTGCCGGCTCCACATCTGCAGATTCAACCAACTAAGGATTGAAAATATTCAGAAAAACATAAATAGTGATACAACAAAAATAACACAAAAGTACCATTAACAACTATTTCCATAGCATTTACATTGTATTAGGTATTTTAAGTACTCTAGACATGATGTGACGTACACAGGAGGATGTGTGGGGGCTATGTGGCGTTAGTTCCCCGTTTTATATAAGGGCCTTCAGCATGTGTGGGTTTTGGTAACTGTAGGGGTCTTAGAACGATTGCCCATAGGGGCCAAGGGATGAATGCGTTATGCTGGACGCTTCCCTTCTACAGAAGAGAGGCTGAAAGTTGTCTCTCTGTTCTTTCATTTGGTACCAAATTAGGGCAAAGGGCCACAGTGCAGCAGCTGGCCAGGGTGTGCGGCATCTCTGCACAGCTCTGCTGTGTCAGTGTCACCAGGGGCCTCAGCCTCTCTGGTCAGGGAAATCAGGCACTGAGGAGGCAGCAAATATATTGAGAGCTGGAGGCTCAAAGGAATCGACTTGGTGAGGAAGGGAGGGAAGGGAGCCCAGCAAAGGCACAGCATGCCTGTGAGGGAGAGGATGGGGTATGGGCCTAGGACTGGCAGAAGGCCACATGGCTAGGAGGACGGAACCAGTGGCAGGGGCTGAGGAAGGAGGTTGCAGAAACTAGGGAAGGTCCTGACTCTAAGGCACTTAGGTTTTCTCCCAGGAGCAATGGCCTGAATCAATTTCTGTTTAAAGAGATCACTCTGGGCTTGGCGCCTGTGGCTCAAGTGGCTAAGGCACCAGCCACATGCACCTAAGGTGGCGGGTTCAAATCCACCCGGGCAGTCAAACAACAATGATGGCTGCAACCAAAAAATAGCCAGGCATTGTGGCGGGTGCCTGTGGTCCCAGCTACTTGGGAGGCTGAGGCAGGAGACTCGCTTGAGCCCAGGAGTTGGAGGTTGCTGTGAGCTGTGATGCCACTGCACTCTACCCAGGGCAACAGCTTGAGGCTCTATCTCAAAAAAAAAAAAAAAAAGAGATCACTCTGCCTACAGACTAGAGGAGGACAGGGAGGATGTAGGGAAGGTTAGGGGACCCATGGCAGGGGCTTACACACAAGATGAATTCCTCCTTACTTTCTTTGCCCTGCCCAGTGGCTCTTGGTGGTAGATATTCTGGCATTTTATGTTCCTTTTATTTATGTATTATGCTTCTCAAGCTAGTAAGAACTTCATGTGCTAGGCACACATTCATTTTCTGTTATTAACCATATATGAAGTGACTACTGTATACAAGGTGCTCTGCTGAGTACTGGGGCTGCAGGATGACCTCAGTGCTATCCTTGTGCCAGTGAGGTCATTGGTTAGTACAAGAAAACTAACAAGCAGACAGGCACATGCACGGAAGGACGCGGAAGGGGCAAAGGGCAGGTGAAGATCATGACCGATTTTGTTTGTTTATGTTGATTTTTTAAAATTGAATAGAATGGTATATATTTATTGTGTACAATGTGTTGTTTTGAAATATACACACACAAGTCATCATACATAGAAAAATGGGAAATTGTAGCTCAGTGTACCTTTATTTACAAAACACTTATTACTAAGATTTTATGAAATATTGACAAAATATTCTCTTTGTGTTGGCGGCCTCTTTCTACACACATAGGAAGTCTTCCCTCCCACTCACGGTAAACCTGGTCCAAGAATTCTATTGTTATCTTTTCCTATTGCAACTTTTGGGACACCCTGTACATGGTGGAATGGCTAAATGGAGCTAATTGCGTGTGTGTTACCTCACACACGGGATTTTTCATGGTGAGAACACTTAAGAGTGATCAATTTTAAATGAGAATGGTAGTGGGTAGACAGAAAAGGCTTTAGCAGTCCCTAAGATGAGTATTCAAGGATGAGCAGATGCCCACAGACAGGAAGCAGCCACTGAGTAGGGACGGTAGAAAGCGTGGAGGTGCGTGCAGCAAGAAAATGACAGCAGGTGTCCCAGCCTGTAGGGCGGGAGATGGTGCATATCAAAGGTCTGCACACCTGCCAAGGTCAGCACAGCTGGACTGGCCCTTCATCCTGGAGTGGGCTAAAGGTTTCAGCAAGGAGCACTATGACTAGTTTTGCATGTGTACAGCTGACTCTGTGGTCACCAAGACGTGAGGTGAAGGGGGTGGGCCTAGAAGCGGGAAGGATCTCAAGAGGCTAATTGTAATAGTCCAGTGTGATGCTTGCAGTGGTAGGGAGGGGTTGTATAGATCCCTCATCTAGAACCTGGAGCCAAGGAAACACAAGAATGCTCATTACTCCATGAGGTTGGAGGAATACATCCTCTAAAATAAAATGAACTAAACAACCATAGACTTCTTTCTTTCTTTCTCTTGAGACAGAGTCTCACCATTTGTTGAAGCCACTATTCTTTCCCCAGTGAATTAGCACCCTCATTGGAAATCAGTTGACCATAAATGTAAAGGTGTGTTTCTGGATTCCCACCTGGATTCCATCGACCTACATATCTATCCAGGACCACACTATCTTGAACTGTGGCTTTGTAGTAAATTTTGAAACCAGACAGTGTTGAGTCTTCCAATTTTGTAGTTCTTTTTCAGGGTTGCTTTGCCTAGTCTCTTACCTTTCCATATGAATTTTAGGATCAGCTTGTCAATTCTACAAATAAGGCAGCTGCAATCTTGACAGAGATTGTGTTGAATCAGATTGACTTGGGGAGCATTGCCATCTTAACAATTTAAGTTTTTTGGTCCATAAACATGGAGCAGATCTTCTTTAATTTATTTCTACAATGTTTTGTAGTTTTCTTTTTTGCAAGCCTTATATTTCTTTGGTTAAATTTATTCTGAAATGCTATTTTTCTGTTTTCTCATTGATTTTTCTTTCTATTCGTTACATAATTGAAAGTGAAGTCTTGAAATCTTCAGCCATTACTGTTGAATTGTATATTTCCCCCTCAATTCTATCAGTTCTCCCTTTGTGTATTTTGAGGTCTATTTTTATTTATAATTGTTATAGTTTCTTGATGGGTTGACCCTTCTGTTGTCATAGTACTTTTTTCCCTCTAAAAATTTTACCTTAAAATCTGTTTTGTCGGATCATGGTGAAGCTTATTTTCATCCCCATTTTGAAGCATAGTCATATTGGGTTTACAATTCTTACTGATATTCTTTTTCTTTCAGCATTTTGTTTTTTGTTTTTTGTTTTTGAGACAGAGCCTCGAGCTGTCCCCCTGGTTAGAGTGCTGTGGCATCACAGCTCACAGCAACCTCCAACTCCTGGGCTTAGGCGATTCTCTTGCCTCAGCCTCCCGAGTAGCTGGGACCACAGGCGCCCGCCACAACGCCTAGCTATTTTTTGGTTGCAGCTGTCTTGTTGTTTGGTGGGCCCGGGCTGGATTCGAACCTGCCACCTTAGGTGTATGTGGCTGGCGCCTTAGCCACTTGACCCACAGACGCTGAGCCTCTTTTAGCATTGTGAATGTCATTCCACTACCTTCTGCCCACCATGAAAAATCAGCTGTTAGTTTTATTGAGTATTCCTTGTATGTGATGAGCTATGCACTTTCAAGATTCTTTTCTGCCACTTTCAAGATTTTCTTTGTCTTTCAAATGTTTGATTATGATGTGCCTAGGTTTGTATTTCTTTGAGTTTCTTCTACTTGGAATTCATCAAGTTTGTTGGATGTATAGATTAATGTTGTTCTCAAATTTGGGAATTTTTTTGTCATTCTGTCTTCTTCCCCCTTTTCTCTTTCCTTTTGGTGCTATTATAATGCATGTGCTTGTTTGCTTGATGGTATTTCACTGGTCTCCGGGGCTCTATTTTTATTCATTCCCTTTTTTATCCCATCACTTCTGAGTGGATAATCTCAACTGATCTTCTTTCAAGTTTATTGATTCTTCCACTTGCTCAAATCTTCTTTTGAGCCCTCTCTGATGAATTTTTCATTCTAGCTATTGTACTTGTCAATTCTAGAATTTCTATGTCTTTGTATTCTCTACTTGGGAGACATTGTTTTTATACTTTTATTTAGTTCTTTAGCGATCGTTTCCTTTAGTTTTTGAACCAACCTAAAATAGATAATTTAAAATCTCTATGGGGTAAATGCAACATCTGAGCTCCCTCAGGGAGAGTTCCTATTGACGGCTTTTTTCCTCCTGTGTGTGGCACTTTAGTTTCTTATTTATTTGTATGTTTCATAATACTTTGTTGAAAACTAATCATTTTAAATAACGTAATGTGGCAATTCCGGAAATGATCTCTTCCTTTTCTCAGTTTGCTGTTGTTGCTGTTTGTTTGGTGACTTTCCTGAACTAATTTTATGAAGTCTATGTTCTTTGTTATATATGTCCACTGAAGTCTCTGCTTAGTTGGCAGAGTGTTCAGCCAAGGACTAGACCGAGATTTCCTTAAATGCTTTGCTTCAATAAGTCTCGTGTCCTTTACAAAGGGGCACTGTGTGCATGTTGGGGCAAACTTTCAATAACGTGGTAGGCAGTTTATGACTGCCTCAGCATCCACGTTCTGCTTATGCTGAGCCTCCAGGCCACCCAGAGGTGAGGAATTAGGGCTTTTGCAGGCCTTTCCCATGCTTGTGCAGTAGCCCTGCTCCTAGATGTGGCTTTCTGGGTTACCAGGAATATACCATAAGGACATCTCATTCCTTAGCTTTTCCTTTTAAGTGTTTTGGCCCGCTTCTTATTTGCTTCAATTGTTATCACTGCTGAAGGCAGCTGCCATGTTAAACAATTGCCAAGGATCGTTTTCAACAAAAGCCTCAGGGAAACAATTGTTGGTAGTGAGTGCGTTCTGAGTCATTTCAAATAAAGACAAGCTCTATGAGTAGATGTTCCTAGGGAAATGCTGGACAGGTCAGATAATGGTACTTTGGTTAGGTGGTGATAGGGCTTTGGGGAAGCTCCAAACCCTCTTGCTCCCTCCATGGTACTGTGGTTATAAGGCTCTTGGTTTTCAAGGACACTTCACATCTTAGGAAAGGACCACAGGACTAGAGCACATTAAGAAACTACAAATCAGCTCAGCACCTGTGGCTCAAGCAGCTAAGGCGCCAGCCACATACACCTAAGGTGGCGGGTTCAAATCCAGCCCTGCCCCGCCAAACAACAATAATGGCTGCAACCAAAAAATAGCCAGGCGTTGTGGCGGGCGCCTGTAATCCCAGCTACTTGGGAGGCTGAGGCAGGAGACTCGCTTGAGCCCAGGAGTTGGAGGTTGCT